TTTTATTATTTGGCTTGCTAATATGAAAACAAGAGATAACAAATCATTCTAACGCTACTTGGTCTAAAATGTGGATCATAACTCATAACACAATCCGCTTAATTCTTACTAAATTTTAATTCTTTTATTTGTTATTTTATATAAAAAAATATATATAGTACATTATAAACTATTTATTGCTTCCTTTCAGTTATATATAAGACGAATATGATTTGCCATTTAAATAAGTTGGTCTTTAATTTTTTACTTTCAAATGAGTTTATTTTTAATTTTTATCCCTAGCAAGCAAACTTATGCCGACCGAGTATAAGCTCTTTGGGGGACATAACTTACGAAATATTATGATGCAAAAACATAAATGTATATCTCATCTTGAGGGCAAAAAATAAACATCAACACAAAATATGTGCAAAATGTGCAAATGATCTTAAATACAACATATCAAATAAGAAAGGAAAAAAATTGAAAATATTTTGACAAGATTTTTCTTAAATAAATTTAAACTGCATATCAAAACAATTTTAAAAAATTGAAATAGATTAAATTAATAAGTGGATGGATCAATAATCCATCTAAACTTAAATGAATTAGGTAATTATATTTATTTTTTTTATGACAAGGAAATCCACAGTCACTATCCTTTTGGTGCGCACAGGGTAAAACTCTCGCTCCTATGCAATAGCTCGCAAACCACATAGGAGAGGTAACCCGCACTAGGTAAGCCCGGTGCGACGAGCTCGACCCAGAGAGGAAGTAATTTCGAACTTGAGACCTCTAACATGGAAGTCTTAAGCCCAAACCACTGGGCCATCCGAAGGGTACCAAATTAGGCAATTATATTGACACCTATAATCTATAGTTAGTTGCAAAAATGTCAGTCTAATGGAAAGAAAGAAAAATAATTCTAAATTGTTTGAACTTAAATTGGCATATCTATAACTACACTAAAGTAAGGAGAAAAAAAGTACACCCAAAATGACCAAAAGTAAAAAATATATAAGTTGCTTATAATTCATCTACAGAAATTAATGCTCCTAAGAAAAAATTGTTGACATTATTAGTTGTTAGGTATTACTATTATACAAGTTGTAACAACTCGTTATTCTTTGTAATTTCATTATTATCCGTTACTATAATTAAGAATTGTCATAAAATAGACAACGCCAAAATCCTTTTACTGTATTAGCTAATCAGATATAGGATTGAAATGATTTGTTCAATTTCAACATCATAGTCCACATATTTAGTCATATCATTTATGAATTAAATTCAATTTAATTGCGTATTCAAATGTAACTGCAACTTTTTTTTTCTTTAAAAATTGAAAGCCACAATGATTAAAGTGTCAAATTTGCTCTGAGCTATAGGAAATGAAACAAATTTATTTTCTGTTAATAGTTAGGATCAAATATATCTTCGTTATTTATTACTTAAATTAAAGGGGAAACTAATCAAATATCCTATTGCACCGTAATTTCCACCACTATCTATTTTTTGATAAATCTATTAATATATGAATTTAAAATTATCAAATTTTGATGTGAATTTTAAAATACAATTTCAAATATTTAGAAATATAATTAACAAATTTAAAAACTACCTAAAAGATATCACAAGTCACAATAAGTTAATAATTTAAAATAGGGCTAGTTTTAAATATATAAAATAAAGTAATTAGTTTACAATAAATATAATCATGTCTTATTACATAAAAAATACCAAAAGTCATAAAATATATATAAAAACTATATATTCAAACACACTCAAAAAGTCGAATATAATTTACTTATACATTAATTATATACTGACTATACATTATAATACACTGAGAAAACTAAATATAATTTAACTATATATAAAGTATACACGGACAATACATGAAGTATACATTGACTATTCATTTCCGATCAACTCAAAATCTCCTTTATACAATCTCAGATTTTAGATATGAAATAGTCTTGATATTTTGAGTCTTCTAATATATAATTTGCTCAAAATGATTAGTATTTTGCGAAACATCGAATTTTAAAGAAGAAGAGGGAGGAGGACGAAGCAGCAACAATAGTAAAGAAGGAGAAGGACGAAGAAGACAACGCATCGGCCCATTATTTTGGAAAAAATTATGGCCTGATGACTGTTTTAGGCGATTTAAATTGTAGTGATCTTAATAATACACTATCCAAAATCTATAGCACAATAATTTAATAAAAACTACTAATAACACAATTACCAACTAATGCAATTTGTCAAATTACAATTAGTTATGAAAATTCATTGGTGCAAAAAAATAAAAAATAACAGCGTAATAACTTAAGTATTCTTTAATAACCTTCTCACATTTTATAAACATTTCTTCACGATGAGCATACACTTTTAGATTAAGAGTGTATACAATGAGGGGAAAGAGTAGATATAATTAGTTGGAGTCATAAATAACACGATTTTGTTTATAAAATATAAAAGTTTGAAGTAATTTTTAGGGAAAATGTTTGAAATATATCCGAATTTTGACCAAAATTATTGTTATGATACCAAACTTTATGGAGGACCTTTTACCCCCTGCACTATTTAATATATATATATATACCTTTAAAATACACTATTAAATAGTGAAGGGAGGTAAAATGTCATTTCTAAAGTTCGGTATTATTACAACAATTTTGGTCAAAATTCGGATATATTTCAAACATTTTCCCCTAATTTTTAATGAACTCAACAATTATTTGTTGGCCGTAAAAATTAGATAATTTTATGACCAAAAAAGTTCTCAAAAGGTGATTGCAATGTTTATGGCCAAGTGGGTATGATATTTGTGGTCTTAAATTAAAAGCATGTTGAATGTATCAAAATATATGAAAAGTTGAAATAAAAGAGTTAAAAAAAAAAAAAAAAACAGTATCTTTTAAAATATACTAAAAATGAAAGCAAGACAAATAAATCAAAGTGAAAATTATCTCAAAGTGCAACCCATACAATTACGTTACACAATATAGCCAAGATTTCCAATGCTTACACGAATTGGCCTAATTTCATAACAACTATAAATCAGTGTTTAGATGTTAGATCGATCTGTTGAGTTTGTGGAATTAGAGGTTTTAAATTTGAGGAATTTCATAGAATTGTCTTGTGAGGTGCAGAAAATATGTCTTCTCATAGTGGAGAGTTAGGGCTCGTTTGGTGTGAGGTATAGTAACAAATAGTCCCGGGATTAAATTATAGTACCGCTTATTTTGTTGTTTGGTTGGCAAGTTCGGGATAACTTATCCCGGGATTAATAATTAGTACCGGGATAAGTTATCCCTCTCCTTGGGTGGTATAGTAATCCCGGGATAACTTATCCCGGGATAAAATAGGTAAATGACAAAAATGTCTCTTTCAACCCTTTTGTTATATCACTTTTTACATTAATGAAGGGCATTTTTGTAAACAAATAAATTGTTCTTAAAATTTATTATTTTGAATACAACAAACCAAACACTCAATAAAAAATAATCCCAACACAACTTATCCCATCATAACTAATCCCAACATAACTTATCCCAACATAACTTATCCCATCATAACTCATTTTCAAACCAAACGACCCCTTAGGCTTAAATATTGTTTGATTTTTAGTGATCAAAAGAATGGTTGATGATGTTCGAAAATACAAGTCAAATTCTAGCCGAGTAGAAAAAAAACTAAAAAAAACTTTGATTATTTATTTTCTTGTCTAAGCCTGGGTGGATCTGCGTTGGTGGAAGGTAACAGGTACCCGGTGAATTAGTTGAGGTGTGTTCAAGCTAGCCCATAAAGAATTTATACTCAAGTACCTGTTGAAGTTGGAAAAGATTCAAAACGATGCTTAATTTACTGTATAAAATCCTCTTTTATCTTAAAACAAGACTTGTAAGGTTCTCAATATCTAGAAGGTGAAATTAGAATAGGAAACAGAAAAGGGTATGGTCATGTTCCTCTTCAAAAAAGGATATGGGCAAGGACTGTTTTCTTTCTTACACTGTCGTGAGGGTATGTGTATGCGGTTGTAGTACATCTTCATTATTGTTAGACTTGTATTCCCTGCTGTGTCTTGCAACTAAATACATTGATGTGATTCAATTGGTAATGAAAACTATGGCAAGGTTTATTATGATGGAGAAGATAATGACGGATTATTAGGAGGACAACAACTATGGAGATGAAAAATGTGAAATTGTCTGGATTATTTCAGTTGGTCATTGCTTCTCATATTTTGTGTGCTTCTTTGTACTTTATCATGAACTCATACTCAGATTATGCATTAAGTAATCGCTGACTACAGCCTCCCCACCCCCCCAATATTGTGTACTATGCATCCGAAATTAGTATATTGATTGAAGTTGAGATGCAATCTATTGGACCTTCCCCTCGCTCATGATTCCTTCAAGTGCTAGTTTCACATCCTCACGTTTGGACCTACATTTCCATATTAGAACATATTCTAACTGATCTTTAGCTGTTATTCATGTGCGAATTGATAGAATGATCGATCGTTACTGATCAGAAAATAAAAGATAGGAAACTTACATCCCTTTCCTATGGGATTGTAAGAAATTTGTATCCCTTTCCTGTGGGATTTTACTTTTTTATGATTTGATCTAGTGACCACAAAATGAACATTGTCTTCAATTTTCTATGATGAAAAATCAGCCTCTCTCAATATTGGGTTTAAATTGAGAGTTTCAAGAAGGAAATTTGTGGGTATCACATATGCTATATAATTGAACAACTTATACACCATTGCTGTTGAACTTGTCTTTTTTGCATTGGTGATTTTATTTGCAACAGAATCTATTAAAAATAAAACAGTTTTCATTAGAGAAGTTTTTTGTGTCTTCAATATAGTTTTTCTGTCTGTCTTGTCCATGCATGATGTACTGAGATTTATAAAAAATGTTAACCACCATGCTGGAGGAGTCTGACTTTTAGATAAGGAAGTTGGGCAAAGTTTGTCGTTACAAAGGTGACATACTGCAATCCTTGTCTGATGCATTCAGTGTTCACTGGTCAGAGTATTAGCTGCAACTAGGACTTCTACCAAATTCTTTACCATAATAATTTGTTTGTTTTGAATTTAGTAGCACAAAGATGACTTTATCAGAGGAGGAGCTCTCAAGACTTTTCAGAGTTCGTAAGACACTGATGGAAATGTTGTCTGATAGGGGCTACCTTGTTGGAGATTTTGAGATAAATATGTCAAAATATGAGTTCCTTCAGAAGTATGGTGAGAACATGAAGAGAGAAGACCTTGTACTTCAGAAAGCCAAACGTAACAACAGTTCTGATCAAGTATGCTCTTTCAGTTTCCTTTTCTTGCATAATTGTAATTATGGTTACTGTCAGTTTAAGTGCACCGCTTTCTTGTCTAAGTATTTTAATGTTTCCAAAAATTGATGATCGGTAAAAAAGTTTCTTCCTTCAATTGATGAAATATTTGGTGTTTGTTTTAGTTCTCCAGCAACAAATTTGATTTTTTCAGGTTTTGTGGCTTAAGTTACTCCCTGTCTACTAGTATGTTAATACAATATGTCTCTTCATTGTATACCTAAGGATTTCATAATTATTTGCTACCCATGTCTCAGCCATTTCCGTTTGATTCCAGATATATGTGTTCTTTCCGGAGGAGCCAAAGGTTGGTGTTAAGACCGTGAAAACTTATACAGAGCGCATGAAAAAAGAAGATGTCTTCCAAGCAATCCTGATTGTACAACAAAATTTGACTCCCTTCGCTCGTACCTGCATAAGTGAAATATCTACAAAGTTCCACTTGGAGGTTTTCCAGGTGACTACTGTACTATTTCTTCTATTTAGTTTGTTCTTACTACTTGAACGAAGGATTGAAATTGTTATGAAATAGCTGAGGAGCTTAGTTTACTCCTAGTTTTGTGATCATTTTATTTTTTGGTATCTTTGTTATTTGGGTTCTTTGATTTTGGTCTGACTACCATTCATTTGAGCACCTGATACTACTTAAGTAGGACCACCAAAATCAGAGAGACAATATGTTGTTACAATGCCATTTGTATTTTGATAAGTGGACCATATTTGTATCAAAATGGCATAATGATGATGCCACTTCACGTTACCCTAGATATGTGTTTGGAGCGGAAGCATGTCCTCTGGGATTTCTCATAATTAGTGTCATTCTTATTCTTTGGGTGGAGGCACTTAAAGTTATTTGTTTCATTGGAAAAGTGTTGAAATTCATTGTACTTCCAATTTGCTGTTGTGTTGCATGGCTAATGCTATTGGATAGAAATCTGTGGTGTGGTATGCTAGTGGTGGCAGCTTGTTATTAAAAAAGATATCATTGAGAGTTGAGACTGTGAATGGTTAATATGATTAAAATGTAGGAATCAGATAACGTTATATAGTTCTGAATTGCGTATTGTTGATGCACTCTCAAAAGGAAGTCTTCAATGTGTGTCCTAACTTGGAAAAGTTTATATCTAAGATACACTTTTTCCAAACATTGATATCCAGAGTTTCAATGTATCAAGATCTATGCTAAACAAGAGTCTTTTGTGACTAGTTCCTAATAGAATTTGTCGCATCACTTGTGAGATATTGCTTAGGAACAATGGATCAAATAAGTGTAATTTTCAAAAGTGTGGAGGGGGATATTGGTGTCTATACCACTGAGCTTCAAAGCTGAAAGCAGGGGATTCTTGGATATTTTTTAAAAAGATAAGTTTACAGGTCCTTTCCATTGATGACATTTTCAAGCTTCACAAGGATAGATGTTCAAATTTTTCTAGAATTAGAATAAAGTGCAAAGACAATTGTCAAGTGTAAGAATCTACTTCCTACTATGTGCAGGCATATCCAAAATGCCTAGCAGCCATATGGGGTTGCCAAGTCCGCGCCACGGCCAGAAAGCAGTGAAAAGGAGAGAGGTAGTTCAGGGATGAGAGTGCCTTATTTAGTGCATTCTAACTCAAAGCTACTATGATAATAGAATCCAAATCCCCTTTTCAAGTATATGAGTTAATAAACTAGCTTATATGTCATTATGAATTAAACCAGCCTAGATAACATGTACTTGACTTCATAATCCACAAGAGAATGGCTTAAGACTATTGTACATCATACGGACAAATCAACGTTCCATTCATAGTGTCTTTACTTGTTTGAAAAAGTTATCTGTTGTGAATGATTCTGCAATTTTATGTTATTCGAAGCTGGTATGGATTTTGATATAGAATGATTCTGCTAGAATTTTCACTCATATTAAGGGTTATTTGGTACACTCTTCTAGGGGTGACACGTTTGTTATTTGTTTGATTTGGAAAATCTGTGAGCTCGCTTGGCTTCTAATATGCACATTAGACGTTTAGTTGCTTTAAGTGATTGATAGTTATATTTTGTCTTAGAATGCGTAATCTTCTTAATCATCAAGATAAATGATTCATGTTTCAGGAGGCAGAGATGTTGGTAAACATAAAAAACCATGTTCTAATTCCTGAGCACCAAACACTTACTCCTGAAGAAAAGAAGACCTTGTTGGAAAGATATACTGTGAAAGAAACTCAGGTTCGTCTTTGTAATATTACTTCACTTGCTAAATTTTTCACCTCATATAATACACTAAAAACCAGGAGACACGTGTTGCGTGCATAATGGTGAAGCCATTTTTGTAGAGCTAGTGGTGGTCAAGAGTGAAAGAATGGAATAAACGAGAAATAACCAATTTAATAATCAATTCAATGGCTTTGTATTCCCTTTCAACCCATTGGGAATGAGTTTGTTGGAAGGGATATAATTGGAGATAGAACATCATTCTTCATGATAGTGTTAAAGTTGAAACTGTCTTGTTCCCTTAGTAGTATAGAAAAATTTAAGCATTTTTTTCTTTGCGTTGTCTTATTTTATGTGAAAGATAATCGAAACCTTGTATCAAATAGCTATTTGTCTATGTAAATACATCTCCACAGCTGGGCTTCTAGTATGAATTGGGGTTTGTCTGAGGGGAATTTTATAAGGAACTAGTGTCCAGTTGAGAGGCTTGCACAGATATATCGACGGAACTATTCAGTCTCCAATGAATTGGATCAGTTGAAGGGGGCTTTGATAAACCTAATGTTAATAGCTTTGATGGAAAAACTACCTGCATGCATTGTTGATCATCACAGTCATGGCCTTGTTATCTCTGCTTCTTCCTTTTGGCTGATTTTTTTTGTTTCTACCTATCAACTTGGTTCCATTGCCATTGTTTTGATTTATGCTATTTAGATAGGCAAGATTGATTACTATACTTACCTGATTGAATACGTAATATTTTCTTTGCTAAAACAGCTTCCTCGGATTCAGATCACCGACCCAATTGCTAGATATTACGGGCTAAAACGTGGCCAAGTCGTGAAAATTATTAGACCAAGTGAGACTGCAGGGCGTTATGTTACTTACCGATATGTGGTCTGAACTAGTTTTTGATGTTTTCACCGGTTGAAAGGTAAACAGTGGATAGAAGAGACAAGTAGTGTAGTTGTTAGTGGATATAATATACAAGCTAATGTGATAGTTAATCACCATTTATATTTAATTGAGATTTCTTGTTCATCGTCTACTATGGATTCCATCGTTTAACTTTGTTGTGGACGACGATAAATTAGATAACTAAAAGAAGTATATTGCAAAATCTATTTAGTTAGTACTCAACAATTTTTTATTTGTGGTTAGGTCCCCATTATATGCCTTATATAAATTTTGACTGTAAACTTGTAATATATATATATATATATATATAAAAGAGAACCTTAAGCCAGCCTATGTGGCGCCACAACAAACTGGAATTCCCTTTTAATTTATTTATTTACAAAATTAGCCTTCACCTTTCATGATAAGTTGTGAAATTTATGAAAAGTTGTGACTTTAATGACGAGTTGCGACTTTTATGAAAAGTTGCGAATTTTATGAAAAGTTGTGACTTTTACGAAAAGTTGCGACTTTAATGAAGAGTTGTGACTTTCATGAAAAGTAGTGACTTTTATGAAAGATTGTAACATTTTCGAAGGGTTGCAACTTTTCCAAATAGTTGTAAGTTGTAACCTTTCCGATAAGGCACAATAAATATTTTTTCACACTACCCTTTGTTGTCTATAAATAGAGGGATTTCCTCTCATTTTAAAACAACGAAAATTCTGAACCTCTTCTTCTTCTTCACAATTAATTAAATATTTGCGTACTTTGCTCCTGTTGAGGCTCACTGACACCATTACTTATGTTACAGATCCTGGTATGTATTTTTTACAGTCATTAATTTATGCTTATGTTATTAAGGATAAATGATACTTAAGATGTAATAATTTTCATTTTTTCCTTTACATTATTAACGTTTGTTACTACGTAATCTTGTATGTAAGATAATATAGTGTTTTAATTTTAATGACCGATCAATTTTAAGTATTATTTTATAAATTCCATGATATTGAATTCCCGCGCGAAGCACGGGTAATTTTACTAGTATATATATAAAGAGGATCCATTCTAACATAAACCCAATATGCCTCAAACAGGTAGTCAAGTTCTTACTAAAGGGATTTATTATGTTATATTGCTAACATATGGAAAGTCGAGGTTTAAACTTATTATAAGTACATTAGATAGAATTATGTATGATTTGGAAAGAGCCAAGCAGGAGAGTATACTTATCAAATGTTTACGCAATGGACGGAGCTGAGGGGTTCATTCGAACCTCTTTTGTCAAAAATTACATTGTATATATAAGATCAATATTTTTTTTAATGTATATAAAAGTATATGTTGAATCCTCTTAACTTCTTGGTGTGTTTCTTACTTTATATTTTGAATTTTCTTACCGAAAATTCTGACTTTACTGCTTCATAATTTTCTTCCATTTTATTAATTAGTGAGCCACAACCTGTGCTATTCTACACTTTTCAACACATTGGCAAAGTCCATATAACTATGCTTGTAGGCTGCCAAACATTAAAATAACTTAATAATGACTGTTTTAGATATTTTTTTAAAAAAAATTGATGGTTAAAAGACCCTTAAAATTATCACATTTTTGCAAATTTCATGTTTAAACTGTCTTATTTTCGTTACCCCTGAACTATAACATTCAAGTGTTAAAATCTCTCTTGCATGACATTGGCAAAGCGTTTATCGACATTTACTTAGAGGCGCATAGGCCATTGAACTCTATTTAAATTGACTTATTTAAGTGTTTTTAAGCAATAACTTTTAAGTACTTTTATTTGAGAAACAAAAAAATATTTTTAAGCACTTGATTTATAGCCAAAATATTAAAAATAAGTCAAAAACCCTAAGGTAGGATTTCTAACTTATGGCTGGCCTATAAGCTATAAGCTAAAAGCCAAAAGTCAATCCAAATAGGCTTGTTTCAAGCATCAATGAGAAAACATGAAAAAGGTCTATTACTTAACTCTAGTTTTTTTCACAATAAGAAATTGGTACAGAAACAAGGCTCTACACCTCTCATGAGTAACACAGACCATGCAAAATAGCAATCCAGAAGCAGATATACCACATTATGTAAAAGTGATCTCTTACAAAAAAGCAAAGCTGGCAATTACACATCAACTAGACAGTAGACAGAATGCAAAAATGTTGTCTCAAAACTGTAGGGAGTTAGAAAAACACACAGATATGTCCATGAAAATGTAACATACAAACGACCGAGCAAGCTATCTTGTTGCCCTTCTGCTTTGAAGCCAAATGATTGTTGACACTGAAAATGGCATGATCAAAATATACAATCTTTTCTCATACTTGCTAACTAAGAGACCAACTTGACAACCATCTGAGGCAAGACACTATCTGTAAATGGAATCAGTGAACATCTTTGTACTTTGTAGAATTCACCAACAATTAGTAACCAACAGACTTAAGCCTATTTAATATGACAAATGAAAGAAAACAATTCCACTGACAAAACATTGATAACCAAGGTATCCTGTCAATTAGTTAAAAAATAGTGATGAACTGAACAAAAACCTCTTAGTGTAATCTGAACAACTTGCTTCAGATTGACAGAAGAATCACAATATGTCCCATTTGCCTTCAATCATTCTCAGTGGTACTACCTAGAGGATCACAAATTCACAATGCCATTTAGAAACACTTCCAGAGGATGTCAAAGTCTGGGGAGAAGTTGATAAGGGCTGACTCACAAGTGCGTAGGGTAATGAGTTATGTATAAAGTTGATAGAATGAGACTTACAAAACAGAGCATCAAAGTAGTTGGAGGAGATGAAATCTACATATGGCTTCAAAAGTTCATCTCAGCTGATGTTCAATGCTTTGCTAAATGATACAATGCTGAAGGCCTAACCACTGTTCTCTTCTGCTATAAGGTAAACTAGGAAGCTGCATATACTGAGGAAGCCAAAAAAAAGTAATTTGGATGAGGCTTTAATTGGTTTGAGTTGGGAACGGTAAAATTCTCTTCATTGAGAGATAGAAGTAGTAAAAAGGCTGTTTGGTGAAGTTGAATCAGCTTCAACCAAGAGTGGCTTAGGAACTCAATAGGATTTGTTAAGACTACAAATTTTGGAAATGGTTATAAGGTTGTTTCAAAATCACAAGTAAATGGTTCATAAGAATCCAAAACTACAAGAGGGTAAAACAATTGATTCATGATAATTAACATCTCACTGATACAACAATTTCCAAGGCCAGATCTTAGTGTACAATACATTCACTCACTGCTTGCTATCAAGGCGCATCCAACATAGCTCAATCAGACTTCCACTACTTGTTTGATTTTGCTACCACCAATTGACCATTAATTGACTATATCTACAGAAGAAGAACACTAAAAACAGTCCTAATTCATGCTTACATATTCAGTAGACGAGAACTGCATTGAACAAATGGAGCAGCAAGACAAAATCACAGCAGGATTAAAGTTGATTACTTCATGACTGCTTCTTTTTTTCCTTCAAATACAAGTGGTTTCTCTGAAAGTCTAAAATTACCCAAATCAAATGTCTTAAACCAATCTCAGGCCATAGTGCAGCGGGAGAATAAAGAAGACAATGTGCACTTTGCCACAAAAGAAAATTGCTTAACCGAGCTGCTCCAGAAGTCCGTATAATAATGTCTGGATCAGGACAAACTGACATGTACATATGTCTGTCAACATTTGTTACACCAATCTGGTGCTCATCCTTGTCCTTCACATTTTCTTCGAGTCTAATTAAATTGCCTCCATCATTATTTGCATCTAGTTTTCTAATCTCATCCCATTTTTCTTCACAAGATTCTTGAACAGCATGCACAATCTCATCTGTTGATGTGTAGGCAACACAAATAGACAATACAGCTTTTGAATTACCTGATGTCTTTACCATAGCCCTCTCAGCTGCTGACCTGACGTGGTCACTCAGAAGTTTAAGGTTTCCTTGAAAGTAAATCCTAATCCCAAGGCGGTTTACAATGCTCTCCTCTTTTGTTAATTCATCAATCTTTTCCTGCATTAGTTTCATTAGCGATACAACTTCTTCAGGCCTTCGCTTGAAGTTATCAATGCTGAAGGCATAAACTGTTATGTATTTTACACCAAGCTCGTAACAATATTTCAGCATATTGATAAGAGCTGAAAATCCAGCTCTGTGTCCATTCCCATCAATCAAGTTCTGTTTCTTAGAATATCTACGATTTCCGTCCATAATGAAAGCAATGTGACTAGGAACAGGACCCACACTAAGTACAGAAAATATACATTGGCGAACAAAGCTGCTAATATTTTCAAATAGATGCCCCACTTTTTTTCCGTTTACACCTTCCATATCAACCCTCAAACTAAAGCTTGATCATGCACCAAGATCAACCTAATCAAACATTACAGAATTTAGTCTCAAATAACCGAATAAAATCAACTTTTTTCTGCCATTAAAAAAACAATGCAGAACAAGAGAAAACATCACAAAGTAAGTTGACATCACAATAGATACTAAATAAAATTAGCACAACGAACTACTTCTAGTCATACACTAGACTCTTAAATTTTGAATAATGACACCAGGAAGTTTCTTGAGTTATATAATAGGATTACTGTGTTTCAGAAGGTCTATTGCATTGTTCATGTCTTAATAAAATTCATCGGAATTTCTTAATTTCCTCCTATTTCTAGAAATGGGTTTGGAACTTACTGTTAGTTGCCCAAAAAAACAACTATCTTTCATCGGAAAAAAAAAAAAAAAAACTACCTTTTAACAATAGAAAAAGGAACTATCTTGTAATTCATTCAGAATCTCTTTACAACATATTCTTGCTGCTTGGAGTTTCAATTTTCCTGAGAGTCAGTGAGCATTTGCTTAAATTGGTTGTGCTCATAAAACTTTTGTCAATTTTTTCAAGAACTAATAGTAGAGTTCTTCACTATTTCTATTACTTAAAAGAAAAATTGAGAGAAGAAATTACTAACTATAATATCACCTGCAATGAACGGCCTAGCGGCCAATGAAGTGGGTTGAGAATCAAGTTCAAATTCCAATAAAGACAAA